CTTCATTACATATATTTTGTACTGGATTGATTATAAAAGTTTGCTGGACTGGACAAACTCTGAAAAGCATGTTTGTATATTTCATTTCATTATCAGGTGTTGGGAAGAGGATTTACTCAATTCTCATTGAAATACAAATACACGTAAATCCCAAAATAAATAAACTATAACAAAAAGCCAGTACACACATACTGGGGCAGGATGGAGAAACAAGCACTTCCAAAGTAAAAATGACAGTGAGGGAAGGCAGATTAAGTATTTCCAGAAGCAGGGTTGAAACTTACCACTTTGAGTGCTCCTCTGTGAAAAGGGTAAAGCAAATAAGTGAGCATAGCCTACCAGCTTGGCAGTGTACACATTCTGTGGGAGTGGGTCGGTAATAAGTGTTAACAGCAAGTAGAACAAGGTTTCGATCCTATAGGTCTGAATGTTGAGGCCGAATTGTACTGGATAAAGGGTGTACCAAATGTGTTGATTCACCTATTGCTTGAGGAGCAAGACACTTGTCTTCTTTACTGTGTTCAGAAAAGTTGATGATTCAGAGCACTTTGGTCAGCTTTTTCACTGAAGTCCACTTCAAAGACTTTATGCAGACAGACCAGTCAGCTCATCGCCCTGAATGAGCTGGTACAGGGACTGGAATTTTATGACATAGAAGTAGAGCCTGGGAATGTCAAGTTTAGTCATCTAAGGCTGTGTAACTACACTAGAGTAGGTGTGAACAAAGTCGCAGCCGAGAAAGTTCACAGTTAATCTACCTTCTCTAATGAAAGATAAACTATGGTGTAAAACCTCTGCAAACATCAATATAGGAACCAAGGCCCTCCCTGGTGATGGAGGGATTAAACACAGCACTATCAAGCTATTGTCAGCCACTGTAACATGAGTTCCATCCCCAGTCAGGGAGCTGACCCTATGGCACAGCAGTCTCTCCAGTCTCACCTGCTGCTCCCTTAGGCTGTGTATTTCAGGTGAGTCCTGTTCCACTCCCCCTATCTCTGGTGAATCCTCTCACTGCCCCCCAAAATCCCAGTGGCCCAGCTTGCACTCCCCAGACTGGTTCTTAAACACATGTGGACAGGACAGACAGGGATGTATACACCGTTCATGAGGGCTGTGTAAATTTTATTCCTATCACAAAGTAGCATTAAAAAACACCAGTTGCAACTGTTATAAAAAAAAAAAAAAAAACCACCAGTTGCAGACCATGTGTTGAGTATGACAGTTTAAGAGGGGTCCCCAGGAAAAGGGGAGGTTCCAGATTCCCTACCCCATCCAAGGGAGGGTGGAACAAAGCAGGGAGGAGAATCTGGTGAGGAGACTAAAGAGAAAGGAAAAAGGAAGGACGCCAGAAGTGACCTGAGGGAGCCACATGGAGCAGAGACATGGGAGAAGTGACTGTTCCATGGTCCTGAACTGGCTGAAATAGAGGTAGGTGAGAACCTCCATGGGGAGGTTGACTGATAAATGGCAGCATTTATCTTGACTTTCATTGTGCTCTTTTCCTCCCAGATTATGTAGCCATCTCTGACCCTTTTCTAAGGGTCCCTGTCAGAAAGTGCTTTAGGTGTGTCTGGGTTTTCAGGCCTTGCTTTGTGCCAATCCCTTTTGAGTGGAATTTTACCCATGAGGGGATAGGTAATTTTGGGTGTTGGATTTAGAAACTCTATTCTTTGTCTTTTGTGTATTGCACACTGACTGCATTAAAGTCCCTTTCCATTAAAGATCATATGTTTTGTCTTGATGCGGTGGATGGCAGCACCTATTTAGAAAGGGCAGGTCTGGGGGTCCTGGGGTACCTCTCTCACTGCCCTGTAGCAACAGCACTTACTAAAAGAATGGGAATGAGGAAGCTATGAGCAACCTATTAGGTTCAAACTAAGAAAAGGACATGGAGATCAATGCGTTAAGTAAGAAGCGTCAATCATCCAACCATCTGTTGAAACTTTTTCAAACATGCAGCCCTGAGAAGAGTTATAGATGTGGATCTAATTAGAGGCATTCTAAAGGAACATTATCAATTAAAACATCAAATTAACATACTGAAACAGTGGGAAAAAGCAAGTAATGATTCAGTTGAAAAATATGCAGTTGAAAACTTCTGCAGTTCAGACCCAGGTCTTCACTTACAAGACAGTAGCTCCAAACTGCTGATACATTATGCTCACCTGTTAAAGTCATATGAAGATGATGAAATGAAATTCAAAAGAATGGAGAGGAATTAACACAAATCTAACTGATAATAGAGCAGCTTTGCAAGCAAGCTCCAGGATCTTTTTCTTAAACTTGATCTTTTGACAGACTTCTCTGGAACCACCACTTATGGCAGTCTAAGGACTTCTCTAAGGGGGACCCCCTCCACTGCCTTCAGCAGGTTCTCTAAACGGCTTAAAGAGGAATTGGAAGACTTAAGAAAACCAATGCAGGAAAAACATGCAACCTTTCAACACACCAGGAAGAGCACCAGAAACTAGCTGCCTCAGAACTACAGAGAACCACAGGAGCAAACCACTTCAGAAAGGAAGCAGCTGAAGGAGAAACAAGATGTTTCAGGAAACTTATTGGAGGAAGAAGTGCTTCATCAAAAACAAAAGTGAGAACCACCAGGCAGGCATAGAGCTATTCTTCAGTCTTCCTGGGGTGGTGTGTTCCTTCCTTGCCTGTGCTAGGGGTGCATGTTCCCCATAAGTCTGCATGACTGTAGGGTAAATGGATTCATCAGCCTCTCTGCGCCATGAGCCTCTGTGGCTATCACCTGCGGCTTCAATGTTGTGAACACAGAAGACACTCGGGCGTGTGGGCACCGGACATGCAAATCTGATGGCAGAAACCTGGAGCAGTCGTGCGTATGTAGGCACACCATAACCTAGAGAACAGGAGTGGAAAGGCAACCCCTCTCTGAGACAGGCAACCACTGCAGGAGAGCAGCCACAGGAAGAGCGACTACCAAATGACGAGGGGCAGCGGAGGGGAAGACAGTGTACAGTCCAGGATGAAAACTGCCAACACTGGACAACAGCTCAGAGCTTCTCTCAGCTTGCTGAATTTAAGAGCTTCTCACTGTTCAGCTCCTCAGTCTCTGGTGATTTTCTCATCAGCTCCCATACTCCAAACTCAAGACTTTGTCTCGAATGTCTTCACTGAAGTGTCTTGCTAAAACACCACTCATGAACTATGTCCTCAAACTGGTTTTCATTCACTGAGGTGTAACCAGGGTAATTTTGTGAGTGGCGAGGCTTTTGGAAGTGTCACCCTAATGTCACACACAGAGCCTTAGTTGATCCACATGTACTGAGCTGAGTTCTTCACAATAAACTCCAGCTGTGAGAAGGAAACAAACGTTGGTTAGCCAGAGCAATAACTGCCTACTGAAGTGTTCAGGAAAAGTTTCATGGTGAATATCCAGTTTTGCTTCTGATATATTTTTTAGTGATTTATTTACTTATGTATACAAGAATTGGAATGATGCTAAACATCAAAGTTTTCATTACAGACCATTATTCTGACACAGTTATGAACCAAGCAAGTAGGCCACAGCTGGCAAGCCTGACGAGCTGTATTTACAATCTGTATGAGGGAAGCAGAAAGGGGAGGTCTTCCTGCTGAAAGGGCTGGGGAATCTCAACCTGGGCAGAAGACTGAGGCATCACGGGTATGTGATGCCTGTGAGGCTTGTGAGTCCTCTGACGCAGCTGTCTGTCAATGCCCAGAGAAGGCAACCCTCTCTCAGTGTTTTCTGACCTGAATTATTATAAATCCCTTGAACTTCCCTGTCATACACACTCAAAGCAATGGAAGGTTCTCAAAGGGAGGTTGCCATAATTTGCAGGACTGAGAAATGAAGCGTTCCTGGAAACAGTCATAATTAAAACTGGAGCAGAAACACTGACAGCAGAAGTCAGGGAGGAAGACAAACCAGTGGGGCTGGTCAGGAACAGACAACAGTGAGGCCCCAGGGCCCCTGAGGGAGGGAGCTGCTGCTCAGTGCTGCCACCAGCAGGGAGGGACTAGCTTCCCAAGGAAAGGCAATCAACTTAAATTTTCTAAAAAAGAGACTTAGGTATGGGAACCGTGGTCATCTCAGAAGCCACGCAAAGCAGTTTTGTTTTAATTCCTTCGCGGTACCTGTGAGATGGGTAAGTGATCAGAAGCACAGGCTGCGTGACATCCTGTGCGTGCACGGCCCAGATGCATGTTTAAAAAGAGGGACGAAAAGCAAACAAATAGTTACACAACCGATATCAAATTCTGAGGTTACGGACACTTGCCCATTTGAAGTGTGTCCTCTGAATGTAATTCTATAATGGGATTTGACAGGAGAGGTTTGAATCTATGGAAAGATGGGGGAAAGGAGAAAGACAAGTCAAGTGGCTCAGTGACGAAAAATGCAGACACCTACAAGCATAATCCCCCCACCCCACACGCAGCCCCGCCGTGCGCCCCCACCCGGGAAGCCAGCCCCGACCCCTGGCCCAGCAGCACCTCTTGCAGATGGAAGCATCTTCACAGGTGCCGCGCACGCCCTCGTCGTCTGTGTCGGTCGAGCTGGAAGGGGAGGAGTAAGGGGAACTCCTCAGGCTAGCGGCCATCGACGTGGACGGTCCATGCGCCCACCGGGCACAATGAAGCAAGGGCGACAGCCGCCTGCGAAGGTAGGAGGCCCCCCCTGGCAGAAGAGGAGAGGGGCTGGGCTCCCCCGGCGCAGCTGGCGCGGCTCAATGACGCCGCCCAGACGCTGCCCCAGCAACCTTCCCGCTGATTGGCGCTGGCCCAGACGCTGGAGGGGCAACTTCCCCGCCCCTTCATCCCGTGAAGAAGCTCATTGGATAATTTCCCTGCCTTGGCCCCGCCTACTCAACCCGGAAAGAAAGGAAAATGATAAGTCAAAACCAGCATCCCTGTGCTTTCTGGGAGTTGTAGTTATTTGCAATAACGTCCACAGGTCACCGTTTCTGATCTTTGGATATAAATTTTATAACTGTAACTTAACACCTGTCTGAAGAACGAGCTGTATCTTCAGTACTGTACCAAAGGCTAAGAGTCCAAGCGGAAGAACATTCAGGTGTCACGTTCAGGCTTCACTCTCAACGGCTGCACAAATAGTTTATTGAGTGCCAGGAAGTAAGCTAATAGCTTTGCACACACAACCACGTTTGAAATGCATTGAAGAAAGAGTGCAAAACGAATACACAGAAAATTATGTAGCAGTGAAGATAATGAACAAGAGCTATCAGTTACATCGATGACAATTTTAGAAACAGTATTCATTAAAAAAAGTGTGTTTGTAGAGTTCAAAACTAGCAAAATTTATATTCAACTTCATTACATATATTTTGTACTGGATTGATTATTAAAATTTTCTGGACTGGACAAACTCTGAAAAGCATGTTTGTATATTTCATTTCATTATCAAGTGTAGGGAAGAGGGAGGGGGGTTATTCAATTCTTATTGAAATACACAAACACAGCCCAAAATAAACTATAACAAAAAGCCAGTACACACATCTTGGGGCAGGATCAGGTAACAAGTCTTGCATAGTATCCAATGGAGTAACAAGCTCTTACTGGTACCCAAAGTAGAAATGGCAGTGGGGGAAGGCAGATTAAGTAAGTATTTCCAGAAGCAGGGTTGAAACTTACCACTTTGAGTGCTCCTCTGTGAAAAGGGTAAAGCAAATTAAGTACATTCTGTGGTAGTGGGTCGGTAATAAGTGTTAACAGCAAGTAGAACAAGGTTTCGATCCTATAGGTCTGAATGTTGAGGCTGAATTGTACTGGATAAAGGGTGTAGCAAATGTGTTGATTCATCTATTGTTTGAGGAGCAAAGAGCACCTGTCTCCTTTACTGTGTTCAGAAAAGTTGATGATTCAGAGCACTTTGGTCAACTTTTTCACTGAAGTCCACTTCAAAGACTTTGTGCAGGCAGGTCAGTTAGCTCATTACACTGAAGTTCCTGGTACAGAGACTGGAATTTTATGACATGGGAGTGGAGTCTGGAAATGTCAAGTTTAGTCATCTAAGGCTGTGCGACTACACTAGAGTAGCTGTGAACGATGTCCCAGCGGAGAAAGTTCACAGAGAAACTAGAGTATAAAACCTCTGCAAACATTAATATTGGAACTAAGGCCCTCCCTGGTGATGCAGGGATTGAAGACTGCATTCTAGAGCAATCACCAGCCACTGCACTGTGAGTTCTATCCCCAACCAGGGAGTTGACACACATGGCGCAGCAGACCTCTCCTGTCTCATCTGCTGCTCACCTCAGCAGGATATTTAGTCCACCTGTTCTGCTCCCCACTGTCAATAATAAATCCTGTCACACTCCCTCAAATACCTTTGCCTACACCCAGTCATTGTATGCATAAATAATCCTTAAAAATATTTTTTAAAATATAAATAATCTTTTAAAATATACCCAAAACTGGGTTTTTACCATGAAACTTCTTCCTGAGCACTTCAGTAGGCAGTTATTGCTCTGGCTAACTGGTGTCTGTTTCCCTCTCACGGCTGGAGCTAATTGTGGACAGTGCAACTCTCCGTACATGAGGATCAGCTAAGGCTGTGTGTGTGATATTAGGGTGACACTTCCTAAAGCCTCACCACTCACAAAATTACCCTGGTTACACTTCAGGAGTATAAGGAGTAGGAGGTGGTGATTATCATGGTCCAGTGAGAATGAATCTGAGGGACTGAATGAGAGGTGTGAAATACAGAACAACTCCCTATTCTGCCATCCTTCCGTATGGGAGGATGTAGCTTGGAAGCTACAGAGTGACATCTTGCTGTTGGTATAGCCTGAGAACGATGAGAGTATTGCAAAATGCTAATGGCACCCTCAGTCTGGGTGAGCTGAATTTGGAGTATGGGAGCTGATGGGAAAATCACCAGAGACTAAGCAGCTGAACAGTGAGAAGCTCTTGAATTCTGCAAGGTGAGAGAAGCTGTGAACTGTTGTCCAGTATTGGTGGTTTTCATCCTGGACTGTAAACTGTCCTCCTCTCACCTGCCTCTCTCCACTGTCTTGGTCAGACCACCCTCTGTCTTCTTCTGGGCCTGTTTCCAAGTGTTCTGGCCTGTGATTTCTCCATAAATTTTAAGTAGCAGTAGTTGATGAAAAAGGTAATATTTCCTGTACTGAAACGCCTTTGCACCTTTGTCTGACTCTCCGGGCATATTTGCTGGGGCTACTTCTGGCTTCTTGGTGTTGTGTCATCTCTCTGCAAACACTGGAGTCTTGGTAACTGTGGATATATAGTAAGTGTTGAGACTGTTTTTGCTCCCACTTGATTCTTTGTTCAGTTGATTTAGCTCTTATAATTCCTTTGTCTTTCCATATAAATTTTAGAATACGGTTATCAACATCTACAAAAAAATCTTAATGGATTTTTATAGGAATTACACGAATACCAGTTTGAACTGACATCATTACTATGTTTCATCTTCTAGTTCATGAACATGATCTGTGCCCCAATCAACCTGGCTCTTTGGTTTCTTTTACCAGAGTTCAGTAGTGTTTAGCTGATAGGTCCTGGCACTGTTTTTGTTAGAATTGCACCCACATATTTAATTTTGTGTTAATGATTGAAAATGTATTTTTAAGTTTGGCTGTCCATAGGTTCATTGCTAGTATATAATAAAACAAGTGACTTTTGTTTGTTTTTTCTGGTGATGTTCCATTCAACTATAAGTTCTGGGAAGAATGCTTTTTGCAATGTCTTGTGGTATAAGGCCTGGAATGTTGATTCAGTAATAAGAGGTGCCTTGAGAGCTGGCAAAACTAAGGAGACCTCAAATGTCTTCACTGCTAGGTCCTCTCCCCTGCCCTACACATAAGGGTTCCTGCCCATAGAGTCCTGGCTGAGGGTCCCACCGAGGCCTGCTGGCTCCTGAGTGGGAGGCTTCTGTTCCCTACCAGCCTAAGGCCTGACTCACACCACCCCACCACCCCTCCTGCTGGAACCAGGGTTCCCAAGCCTGGTTCAAAACCTGCCTCCCAAACCCCTCCTCAGTGCCTGTCCCCATGCGTTTCCTGTGGCCCGACATGGTGTGCCTACTCCCCTGGGCTGTGAGCCTCGTTGGTCAATAAACTGCTGCGGTGTGGGGGGCCCTGTGTTCACCACTCAAGTCAGTCCAGCCAGGACACTCACTGCTGAGCTGAAGTGGGGAAGACAACAATGGGTCTCGTAAACTAGATGGCCCTACCTCCACGGAGGATCCTGATCAGCTTTATGTACCTCCTCTTCCTCGGTGGTCACTGCCAAGTTGCACACCAGCTTGTGCTTTAGCCCAAGTTCTCTTCCCTCAAACAGGTCTGACTCTCTTCCACCCTAGCGGCTCATTTCTTTGTTTCTTACCAACCCCTAACACTCAGGCTCTTCATGCAGAGGGACTCATCTTTTGAACCAGGGGCTTCAGGCCCCCGGTCACGGTCTGCCCATAACCAGAATACCCTCCTTTGATGTGGTCTCCCCCTGGGGAAACTGATTGGCATGGCTGGAAGAAAAGAAGAGTCACGTGGAGGACCCCAGAATCCCTTTCCCCAACACCCCCAGGAAGGCTGGCACCCCCTTCCTGAGCAGCAGAATCACAGAAACCCGTGACCAGACCTGGCTCAGCATCCAGCCTGGTCTTGATGGATTTGTACAGAGGATGACAAAGAGGCAGTGCTTCCCAGGCCAGGTCAGGCTGCTGTAGATGGTTCTGAGCCCACAGCTTATGGGGCGTGGACCCGGGCTTTCCACCCCATCCGCCTGCCCAAAGTACCACGTGGCCCCAAATCCTGCTCCTCAGAGGCACAGGAAACACGTTCCTCAAACGTGACTGAAGCCTGGAGTCCTCGATCACGCGCCTTTGCCACAAGAGGATCCAACTGGGATGGTGCTGATCTGAGACTCCCTGGAGGAGACAGCTGCACCCAGGAGCCGATCAGGAGACACTTCCCCTGCCCCAGAATCTAGCCAGTACCAAGCAGCAGCAGCAGCAAAGGGGAAATGGAAGAAACTCCGGAAAGGAAGAGGAAAGCTTACCCTTTGCCCCAACTGGGAACCCAAAATGGACCAAGATGATTTACATGGCAGACTGGTGAGAGGGAACTGACGGGCTTTCCCGCCCCCGCAAGCTCAGTTCTGAACATACTGTCAGCTGTGCCTGAATGAAGCAGTGGACAACCTTTGTGACTAAGTCAGGGACCAAACTACGATTAGACCAGGTGTGTTACTGTGTTTTCTAGGCTGGAAGAGAAAATTGCTCAGCTGAGCAGCTGTATGACTTAAACCGGTGTTCAGGTGTTTCTGGGAGCTGGTGGGAGAAACAGCCTAGAATGTGAAGCCGCAGAGTCGTTTCAGGAGAGTTGAGCACTTTCCCCTGATCTTCTTGAGGGTTGTTGGGGACGGGAACCTTAAGAGACTGTGAGCCTGGAGACAAGCTACGCTCCACAGCCCCCACCGTCCCCAGTCTGCACGGCCTCATCTCTGCAAAGGTCAGGCTCTTAGTGGATGGAGCTGATGTGTCCAAGAGTCCCCAGCAGAGGGGTCCTCGGGGATGGCTGGGACCAGGACAGATGCAGCAGGATATAGGTCATGTCATGTGGCATGTGGCTGGGGAGGGCAGAGAGGACCTGGGCTGGGGCACAATATGCAGAAGAGGGCTGCCCAGGGCTGCCTGCATACTGGCAC